CGGGGGGATTCGTCCTTCTGATCAATTGAATCCCATAAAAATCCTAGCCTGTTTCTGAAACGGGAGAGCGGCTATTTCGAGAAACGCCGCCACGAGTAAAGTGAAACGGAGGAGGAGGAGGCAACAATGGACGTTGGCCGCTTACGAGGAAACCGACTCGTGTTTCACTCGTGTCTCAAGTGAGTTCAATTAAAGTGCCTCCGCGATATGACGGCCGAGATCCTCGCCGTCCATTTTTCGCCCGGCAAACAATGATGTCATCGCGTCACTTTGACGAATGTTCTCGGCCGAGGAAACGCGGCGCCGCCGTTCCGTGATCTTCCACCACCCTTAATTAATTAATAAAAAGCTTTTACGTATGGTACAGCTATACACACAATTCTTTCGTAATTTCAAAGATCACTTTATCATCATTTGATATAATAATTTTCAAAGATGCGAATCTGATGATTGCAAAAGATATATTTCCTTTGGATTAGAAAAAAAAAAGAGAAAAAATAGTTTATATGTATGAGAAACGTATGGTATAATTTAATTCCTGTTAAAGTAGGAACGTGATCTTCCACTCTTAATTAATAAAGTTTCTACGTATTTTATTATCATTTCATATAATTTGATGATTGCAAAAGATATATTTCCTTTGGATTAGAAAAAAAAGAGAAAAAATAGTTTAAATGTATGAGAAACGTATGGTATAATTTAATTCCTGTTAAAGTAGGAACGTGATCTTCTTCACCCTTAATTAATAAAGTTTCTACTATTTTATTATCATTTAATATAATAATTTCCAAAGATACGAATTTGATTGTAATTATAAGGATATGGATTAAAAATGGTAAAAAATATATTTCCATTTTCTTTTGGATTCGAAAAAAAGAGAAAAAATAGTTTAAACGAATGAGAAATATATGGTATAATTTAATTTCTATTAAAGTAAGAACGTGATCTTCCATCCTTAATTAATAAAATTTCTACGTATTTTATTATTATTTAATATATAAATAATTTTATTATTTAAATAAATAATTTTCAAAGATATGAATTTGACGTTTGCAACTATAGGGATATGGATTAAAAATGGCAAAAAATATATTTCCATTTTCTCTTGGATTCGAAAAAAAGAGAAAAAATAGTTTAAACGAATGAGAAATATATGGTATAATTTAAGAACGTGATCTTCCACCCTTAATTAATAAAGTTTCTACGTATTTTATTATCATTTAATATAATAATTTTCAAAGATACGAATTTGATTGCAATTATAAGGATATGGATTAAAAGTGGCAAAAAATATATTTCCATTTTCTCTTGAATTCGAAAAAAAAAGAGAAAAAATAGTTTAAACGAATGAGAAATATATGATATAATTTAATTTCTATTAAAGTAAGAACGTGATCTTCTTCACCCTTAATTAATAAAGCTTCTACGTAGTATAGCTACTATACACACAATTCTTTCGTAATTTCTAAGATCACTTTAAAGATACGAATTTGACGTTTGCAACTATAGGATTAAATAGTAGATATGGATTAAAAGTGGCAAAAGATATATTTCCATTTTCTCTTGGATTCGAAAAAAAAAGAGAAAAAATAGTTTAAACGAATGAGAAATATATGATATAATTTAATTTCTATTAAAGTAAGAACGTGATCTTTAATAAATAAAATTAATAAAGCTTCTATGTAGTAGGCTATATATATATATATATATATACACACACACAATTCTTTCTAAGATCACTTTATCATTATTTAATATAATAATTTCCAAAGATGCTTGCAACTATATGGATATGGATATAGCAAAAGATATATTTCCATTTTCCTTTGGATTCGAAAAAAAAAAAAAAAAGAGAAAGAATTGAGTTTGAATTAAACGTATGAGAAATTTAATTCCTATTAAAGTAAGAACGGAATTAGTGATCCTTTCGAGAGAGAAAAAGTTTCGAAAGGGGGTTTAGAAAAAAAAAAAAAAATAAATTAAAATTCATTAATAATCGTCGGTTCTTAATTACAGCCATTTCCTTACAAGGATACGGCGCATAATTAGGCCGCAGTTTCGTCACCTCAATTAATCACGAACCAACGACGACATTTCCGCAACGTGGATCGTGCGAGCCTCGAAGACGATCGAAAGCGTAATCAGAAGTATTAATCAAGAAGGTTTAATCAAGAAGTAATTAGCACTCGGTGTATTAGCGCTCGAGTGTGTGTACGTGCAAATTCCACGGTCAAATCTCGGGGAATTGGCGAGATTAATTTCGTTTCTAATTCGATTTATTATTTTTCTTAAAAAAAAAAAAAAAAAAAAAAGAAACTCTCTCTTTCAATTATACATCCTGCGGGATATTTCAAGTTTATTCTGTCTTACGCTGCCCACGTATCGATTCTATTTTGAGAAGGATTCGAACCTTGGTTGAACCTGACGCGTGTAAGTCGTCGAAGAATGCAGTTCAACCCCATAAAAGGATGGTGGCCGACGTGAACGCGAAGCCCAGTCCGCCAGGTATGTGTACACGCTCACCACGACCTTTCGAACTGACAACTTTCGGCTCTCGACGGTTGAAGCGATTCAAAGCGGGTCATCGAGCGAGTTCCGCGATACAGATAATCATATACGACGAGAAAGGTCGTAATTAGTTATGTTTGAGACACGTACGACTTTGCGTCGAGGCGAACTAAAAAAATCTGCTAAATATCGTTGCTAAATATTCGCTGCTGCGTCCACTCGAAATCGAACAAAATTTATAATTTATCAAAAGGATACAATCTAAAATTTTAAGAAGGGAAGAGAAAAATAAACGAATTAAAAATTTTGCTATTAAATATTCGTCTGCTTTCATTCGAAATTAAACAAAATTTATGATTTATCAAAAGGTTACAATCTAATTTTAAAAAGGGAAGAGAAAAATAAACGAATTAAAAATTTTATTAAATATTAAATATTCGTCTGTTTTCATTCAAAATTAAATAAAATGATTTATCAAAAGGTTACAATCTAATTTTAAGAAGGGAAGAGAAAAATAAACGAATTAAAAATTTCGCTACTAAATATTCGTCTGCACTCATTCAAAATCGAACGAAATCTACGATTTATCAATCGATTTACGATCTAACGCGTAAAATTCGCCTTAACCTTAAGAAGGAAAGAGAAAAACGAGCGAAGAATTGTACGAATTACAAAAAAAAAAAAAAAAAAAAAAAAAAAAAGAAAAGAAAAAAGGGAAAGTGGCAACCGTAAAAAGCAAACTCCAATCAAGTTGACGCGTACGCGTGGTGCGTGCGCGAGCGGAAGTTGGCCAGTTTCCATTAACAGCTTGCGTTCAGGCGTCGGCGGTGCATTAACCCGAAATAATTCCGTGGAATCACGTCGATCGGTAGACATAATTCGATGACAAAATCCGCCCCTATGCACCATCATTGTGTCCTTCATAATGCACCCTTTGTTATATCGAACCTGCATACCTGTGCGCGGATGCACCTGCGCAAACATTTTCACGCGAGTTCGTGACAGCATCCATGCTCGATGCTCCTCGCGTTTCGAGCACGCACGCACGCGCATGCGCACACACGCAGACAGTTTTCGCTTTGGTGGGTCGCGTTGTATCATTGCGCATATATCGTGTTAGTCGAAACACGAGATCGTCTTCCCCGACATTCCCATTAGAGAGGGAGCC